TTCCGAGGTAGCTGCCAGCTCTTCGGTCTCCAATGAAGTCGACTAACCTTTTTGCTATTTCCTTAAAAAGCTTTACAGCGCTAGGACCCCACGGACCAAGGGTCTCGACACCGAATGAGACAAAATCATATTCGGAGCCTAGACCCCTGTATTTGCATGCTTTAGCTTTTTCAGCCGCTTCGCAAGCCGCACCAGCTCTGTTGTTGGTTTCTGTAGATGGGAAGGGGTCAGCGTGTCTGAACAGGTTGCATCCCATACTAGCACCCGGCCTATTCCATGGAATCAAATTCTTACCGTCCGGTCTCTTGCCATCGCCTCTTGCTATACCAGTTGGCTCAAGAAGACTTGGCATGTTGACGGTGGCAAGGAACCGGCGTATGCTATCGTTAAGTGCGGCATGTCTCGAGAAGCGGCCTGCACTTTTTTGGCATGACAGTCCGTGATGTCCTAGCTTGTCGACATCACTGCCAATGGGACATTCATGAGGAGCGCAGACCGGGACCCCAAGCCATAGACAGGTTGCGATTCGGAGCGTATGAGGCTCAAGAAAAGTTATTGTATTTGACGAAGGGTACGTGTGAAGCCAGTAGCCGGCCTCATGCGCACCCAAGGTCAAAAGCCTAGCACGCGCCGAACCCGTGCTACAGCTCAAAAGATTATTAGAAGTCAATTTGCAATTTATGTCGTCCCAGCTCCTCTGTAAATTTTGAGAAACTGGAAAAATTTGACCTGGGCATGCAATTAAGAAAGCGTTTCTAGCTTCTTCCAAGCCAGCAATCTAAAACTTATTAATTTAATTGAAATAAAATGAATTTATAAGTGGGGCGCCCATACAACTGACGTGTTTTTTTTTCTCGATATTATCAATTGAATCTAATGTCGTAACTAGATACGGAGGATGGTACGGAGCCTTTGGTGCGCGAGTTCGACCCGCACTAGATTGCCATTTTTTGTACTTCTCGTTTCACAAAGTAATAGGCCTGTACCGTTAACATACCTTAACGTACCGCCTTTTTAGGATTTCGAGGCAACATCGATTCCATATAGGAATTTTCGCGATTTCGAGATACCTACTTAGTCTACTCACGCAGGTAAGGTGGTCTAGTGATTTAAGGTTACCTTACCTCTCTTACACGTAAAATGGAAATGATTTTTTTTTTCGTCTACGTCGATACGGTGGTGTCTTTGGATAGATATTTAAAAAATGAGCTGAGAACTGACCAACGAATGAGCGGAATTACCTGCCTGCATCTGTTTTCAAATACATACTATCCGGATTCTTTTTAAAGCCAGAGTGGGCGTCTTCTGGGTAGGCTTGCTGCTTCATCGTAGATCCCAACTCCGTTCTCAGGATGGACAGGAATCAAGAGCAAACGCATAAAACAGAAACATAAAGATTCGTTAGTGAAATATTAAGCTAATGAAACACAATCACACGATTTCTTCAATGGTAAAGTGATTGAGAGACTTCTAGAATAACTAGTAAATATCATTCTGACACCATAACACAGATTCTATGTTCTGTGGTTTGACCCAACGAATATGAATCATTTTTTCTGACCTGACCCTGACAGACAGATCGGGTTGTTCCGTCGTCTCAATGAGCGTTATATATGCGCATTTAGCTGTTAATCTGACACATGTCAACTTGGCAAGATTTCGAAGAATTGTAGGCATTATGCTGCATTATTGCTGATATCGAAAGAAAATATTACTAGAAAAAAATCGACGCGGACCAGGCATAACATGCTTAAAAATAAAAATTATGACTATAATGCTGATAGTTGCCACAACTTTTATTTGTCTACAGTGAGGTTAGAGGATTTCCCGTTCCTTATGAAACGCCCGTCTGGCAAACCAAACCCCACAGAAGACCTCTGCAAAATATTTAAAATTAAAAACCTAAAATATCGATTCACAATAAAATGTCATCAGGACGTGCTTTATGTAAATAGAATAATTTTATTTCTTGTTTTTTTTTAATATTCATTAATTCACGTGCGTGCACGCGGACTAACCTTCCGCTAAATGAAAAGTATGAGGATGAATATCCCGATCTACCTAATCGTTTATTAAATAAAGACGTAACCGATAAATGTTATCGAGATTTCGAGACATTGGCGTGAAATAGGCGTTCAGCGAACCACATTGCAGGAAGGTACTTATACCAAAAATATAACAACAGCTACCAGTGAAAGTGGTCGGATCCCACGGACCAATGGATGCACTTTAATAATAGGCAGAACATTCTCACATTGTATAATGTTTGTAGAGCGTGCGAGTTAATCAGTGAAACGACGATCTGGTTCCTATACAATATTAAGCTGAAGTTGAATTGATATATTTATGGTTAACCTGCAAATGTTATACCTAAATACAACTACTACAGGTTAGTTAGTAGTATTATGTATGACCAGTGGACTTTTGATTCGCGTGTTTTCAACGCTTCCAACATTTACTATTCAGGCTCTAATGATCATAGGCAAATTATACCGTCGCATCGTAAACTTTTGAGTATAAGTTGTTCCCATCCATAAACTACACCACAAGTTTATTTTTTGTAAATAGCCTATAATTGGAGCAATTATTTCGTTTTTAATAAAAATAAACAAACAGCACATTTTATACACAACACATTTTATATCCACTTCGAAATAGAATTTCAGATTCAATAATTTGGGGGGCCCTGGGCGTCAGGAAAATGATTGACGCATACCCTTGGGAATGCGGCAAGGTTTTGTGGAACTCCTCCCCCATCCTCTCGCTCACCCGTTCAGCCAGAGCGAAGACTGGTTCAACAGCTGCCCGAGAGGTGAGGGACTCTACCCACTTAAACCCTGACGATGCCCTGCCTGTGCAATGCAGAGCCCGGAGCTCCCAAGTCTGGGCCCCGCCGTCTCCTCACCCGTCATCGTCGGAGGGTGCTATGACGGTGACAGAGAGAGTCCGAGTGGGCTTATTCCTCGCGGACCCTCTCCGCCAGAAGAAGGCCCTTCTGCGAGATGACATCCTCGCAGAAGATACGGGACGAAACTCAAATGATGAAATCTAATATAAAATGTGGAGAAGTCAGGCGACAGATACTGTCTCAACTACACTTTAAGTAAGATGTAGAAAGGGAGCTAAAGACCATTGTTGTAAAAGTTACCTAGCCTTTTTATACGCTGATTGATGAGAACCCAGACGCATTGATTGTATAGTTTTGTAAAAGCTTTGTTATGTTTGAACAATATTAATTTGCATCTTACAGATTTAAAATATATCTAGGTAGATACGTCATAAAAAGTAACCATATGCCAAAATTATCAAAATACTGTTAAACTTATCTTTTCATTTGTCTTTATTTGTCAAAATTATCATCGATGGTTAAACTAACTATAAAAAGCATTGTCATGACAATTAGTAAAAAAGGTAACTGAGAACACATGAGATGAGTACCTAGTTAATTTTAACCATAGTTTTGTATATCTTTTGGCTGGGAGAACTGACTTTTGGAACATACTTTTTCCTTACAGTTTTTTAAATGAAATTAAAATGAATATTAATAAAGATAGATATTTTCTGCTTGTTGATAAAAGGAACTAAAAAGTAAAAAATAATTTAAGTCTTAAGAAATATACCATTTTATAGGAACATTCTATCCATAACTTTTTTTTACATTATGTGCGCAAGAGAAGTAAAAAGGGTGTAACACGCTTTTATTTTAAATATGGATACATTATATAGGTACTTATAAAATGGTATATTTCTTACTAGACTTAAATTGTTTTAACTTAGGCAGAAAGGCGAAGGGGATCTTGACTTTTATTTTCATCTACTTTGGCACAAAACAGTCATTATAGAAAAAAATAATATGTTGCCAACAAATGCCCAAAATTACTGTAACTGTAAGTTGACTTCTGTGGATTTTTTGGCATATCTAAAGCCGCATCCGATGTCGATCGCCGGTAGCTAGCACATTTTCTAATATTATTAAAATATAAATGTTGCAACATTAATCACTATTGTCAACTCTTACTATAGTTAAAAATATTTTGAAAAAACGCTCATCAGTTTTAACTACGTAATATTGTAACTATTGTAGATAATAAATTGCCAAATTGACAAATAGTCAAATTTTAATATCGAGAAAACAACGCGCCCGAAGTTTGTAAGTGTTCAAAATCAAAAGAACACAAACAAATGAAAGGAGAAAGGAAATTTAGCTAACACTAGTAGTCGCATATTAGTTAGGTATAACCCGTATATTGCTATTGATAATACAGTGGCAGAAAATAACTAGTAACCAACTTTTCTGAAAAGTATCTACGTAGTAAAAATTATATGCATACAACTTCCAAATAAACTTATTCCCTGAGGTTCTTGACCGTCGCCGCCTGTTGGGTTCACGAAATCCTTGAAAACCTGTTTCAAGACACCCAACTGCGGAATATAGTAGCGATGGCTATGCAATTTCGGTTCTACATATATTTACAATAACTTTTGGTTGGCTTTAGAATTGACATCTTTTTTATTGTAAGACAAATACCCCTTTACTAATAAACAAAGTCTATGCTTGGATTACTTACTCCATTTTTTGTAGTTGTTTATTGAATGAGAAATTGCATTTGAGTGATATGAACAAACCATGGCGGAACTAGTCTGAAGCTTATTCTTCGTTTATTAATAAGGGGTTAAAGAGTTACATCCAAAATCCTAAGAAATATGACTCTTCTTTCCATTTTGATATGTTACGTAAATAACCTATATCGATCTTGTAAAAAGAAAAGTATATCATCGGATCTATAAATAATTATTTTATTATATTAAACGATTAAAATAACTTACATGATCATAACAATACAATATTATTTAAGAATTCTGACACGAAATTTTTTAACGAATTTTTGTTTACCAACATGCCGTTTCTCCAAAACTACAAACAATAGCCTTTATACCTTTATTGATTGATTAAAAAAGCTATTATAATTCGACTAATACTGTATTATTCTTCTTTTCAGTGTTACAACTATGTCGAGCAGAAATATCCGATATACTACAAGGAACATGGTACTCAGCAAACACCATCAATGATGGATATTCACCGAAACCCATACAAGAACTTTTCTCTACGGAAGCACCGCAGAGTTTCTCACCACAAAACCCCATAGTTGTGTTGCCTAATTTGTCTTCCCTCGCGCCCGAACAAAGTGCACAATATTCTACAACGCCAACATCCTTCAGCTCTTTTACAAGCACTCCATCTCCTACACCTACCGTCGCGGGCACCCTAGCCCAGTCGACTTTATTTCCAGACAATTACACCCCGTCATCGTTATCCCAGCAGGATTTCTCAAAATCGCAATCCACAACTACTCGATGGCCTCCTAGTTCTACCACCTTACAATCCCAGGCATTCAGGATGAAAACACTGCAAGAATCCTTAGCAGCATCGCCACTTCGACCTCAGACGGAACCAACAGAACCGCCTAGCTTCTCCCTTATATACCAAAATGTTCCACCACAAATTCAATCTATTCCAGTTGTACAACCGCAGACAACTTTGGTGACCCAAATTCCCATATTGTCCACAACAACCTCTTCGCCTCCGACTTCAATATCTGCAGGGACTATAACGCCTTATATAACAAACGGATTATCAGATCCGACCAGCCGTCCTACTGTGACGTTTCGTTCGACGCCAGCGCCGCCGAGTTCGACGTCCCGAACTACAATTTCCGCTCGCGATTGTAATCCTTTTTGCACTACGAAAGTAATAACACCAGCGCCAACCAAAAGACCAGTACGGGTTGTGCCTGGACCGCCAGATGTTCCATTTAAACCCAATTTGAAAATTCTTGTGGTGGCTCCACACGGATCCATTACGAATGTGAAGATTAACCCTACCACTACAACAAAAAAACCTACCACGAAAAGGACAAAGAAACCAAAAAAAAACACCTATGAGGGATGTTTGGATGGATGTAAAGGAAGAAAAGATCCTATATGTACCGTGCCACTGGCTAGTGTTATCATAGATCCGAAGACTTTGAAAGGATTCCCCTCGATATGTCATTTATCGTGCCACAACTCTTATAAAAAGGATGGTAAGTTTGATGATGTTGTAATGTTAATATAATACGAGTATGTTACGGGTATGGAAAACCTGTAAGACAGGAACTTAAAGCATTATACCTAATTAAGTTCAGCCATAGTTGTCTGAACGTGTTTGTTTCGTACATATTACCTGTACAAAAATGTTCAGAAGTTACAATGGTCTCAGTCGATTTCAACTCGAGTAGAAAATTAGTTCTACCCAATACCAACTAGTTACAAAATAACATAGGTAGCTGAAATAATTGCGACCTCTACATAGCTCTGTTGCACTAGAAATCCTGTGTGGTATACAATGTAAAATCGTTGTTCGTTGCTACTACATTAGGAAGGGCAAAAATTGCCAAACAAATAGCAAATGCCTACCAAAGGACAAGGTATTTTCGGAAACTTCTTTAACGATGGGTTATCTGTCGATTCGAACAGAATCTGAGTAGCAATCCACATTACCTTTTCCTTTTCCAATATTGCAAACTGTAGTAATCAGTGACTAATTACCACAAAGGAAATAACTTTGTCAAGGCAACGTGTGCTCGTTGTATAGAGTATATACCGGTACACACACACGGTACCTATTTAAATTTACGTAATTATAAATAACATCTTTCTTGTTACCGAAAAAAAAACTATCTTTTGCTTACCTATATTTAAATAAAAACTGCAAAAGCATAGGAGATAAACTGCAAAACCACAGATCATATAAAATGATTCTTAATACCATAGGCCCTAGTCACATTTTTGTTTGAACAATGTTTTTGTTTTTGTTTGTTGGTTGCCAATCTTTGGCTTTTTAAACACGCACCAGGCAGTTACGGAATAGGACAAAAAACTCGAACCATTAGTTTGATAGAATGAGATGTTACGAAAATGCGTTTATTAAATGAATAATTAATGATCGCCAAAGGAAACAGAGCGGATTGTGTTTTAAGTGTTTACTAAAGACTAACGGGCAAGACGATAAATCATTGAAGTATTAATTATAGTTATACTAACATGTACACAAAAATTAATAAGTTTAAACAACTTTCCTTTATGCGAGTTTGCCTATTGACCAGAAAATTGCGTGCGATGCATGCGCATGCGTCACGAGTTGTGCAATGTTATCTCATAATGTTATACCGCACCTAATTACTACAACAGAAAGAAACTGGTGGATAAATTGTACTTATTTTTATAAAACCATATCTTTTCACAGTTCTTGTGGAATTCCTTTTTGCAAAATAATTTTGGAAATACCGATTTTACACTCCGACCCATGATTTATTTATCTAATGTAATTGAAAATGATCATATCCGTTCCTTTCCGTTTTTGCGTGGAATTATGATTAAGAATGGAAATAAATTTGACAACAATTCAACTAACCGTATAATATCCAATATCTATAGTATCAGTTTTATTGATCTCTATCTAAGATAATTTGTGTTTCGCACTAGTCATTGTAAGCTTAAAAAAATAAAAAAACTAATTGAAAATCGAACCAGTTTTGACAGGTTCCAGAAACGCGTTCAATTTACAAAGTTTTTCTTCTCTATTTCAGCCTATGAAAAACTTGTTGACGGCCGATGTGGTAGACTGCGCACTCGAATCATATCAGTGGACAGCAACAGCAAGATTCAAAGGGAAGATCTCAAGAAGGCCGAGTACAGCGTCATCAACACTGGACCAAAAACGGTGCTTGAATTCTCGCGCGCGCCTCATCCTTAATAAGAATTATTATAACTGTCTAATGTAAATATAAAGATAATTATAACACCTGGATACAATGAGACCAAACACGGTTTTAGTATTAAAGTTTTATAACATTAAGTACTTATGTAGCGAAAAAAGGTCAAGTAATTAAAATAAAACTTTAAACTACTTGTACTGTACCCTTAGCACGAACCAATATCGAATTCGAATAGTTTGCGAGCGCGAAATGTCATTGTCAAATGTGTACTGACTGTTTCCATAAAAAAATTGACAATGACATTTCGCACTCGCTAACTAGTCGAATTTGATATTGGTTCGTGCTAAGGGTACGGGTCAATTCATACTAGCGCAGAGTCGAAGCACATGAAAACGAATTTCAGAAACGTAACAAAGCAAATTCACCATTATCTTCGCAACGTAATGTACATTATTCTTCATGAGATTAAAAGAAGACGTACTTTGCGCTGATTATCAACTCAGAACGAAAAATGAGCATTAAGTTGTGGAGATAAGGGTGAATTTGCTGTTACTGTTTCTAAAACTCGCAGCGATGCTCTTCGACTCTGCGCTAGTATGAATTGACCATAAGGGGTGATACCGCTCTTATAATAAGACGTTCCATTAAAGAAGTAGGTATTGTGCAAACAAAAGGACTGATAAAATATGTATCGATTGAAATAATTTAAACCACGATAAAGGAAACAAAAAAAATATAGTAAGTGTTCAGGCACAGTAGCTAGCATATACCTATCAATTAATAGTTATTTCGTATTAGACGATGTGCCAAAAACTAAATAAAACAAATGGAAAAGTTATATATTACAAAGTATCAGCTATATTTGTATAGACAGACAGTTTGTTTATCAGTCATTTTATTTACTACCTTTGAGCTTTATGTAACTTGCTATAAGATTCAGAAACGGTAGACACAATTTGGCTTTTTAAAGCAACTTGATGTATTGCCGATTTAATCTTTACAATACGAATATATTTATAAAATAGTTTCATATTCCGCCTAATATCTAATATCTGGTTGATTTTTGGATTAATTCATCATATTTTAATTCTTTTTTAACCACTTTACGAAAAGACTGTACTTTGTACTGTTAAGACATTTACTGATATTTTTTAATACTTTCGACGTTTAATAATAAAATATTAAAAATATTGTGTATTGTTTACATTCCGGAAATTTCCTTTAGCTTTAAGAGATTGGTTTGGAAACTTTTCTTTTAAATAATAAATGCAAAGTTATTTTACAAAATTAAATACTGTATTTCATCAAAACTTACGAGCTAATGAGAAACATCATCAATATTTACAACTTCGTTCCGTTTGGTGACCCTATAAAATTAGGATTACGAAAACGTTACAGTACTTTGTTTTATTACTGAAATCTTTAAGTTTTCACTGAAATCTTTGCTGGAAATTTCCTTGTTGTTGCGAAGTGCCTCCCTGTTGTTGGCTGCCAAACATCATTTGCTGTTGTGGATGGAAATCTTGTTGGCCGCCACCAGTATTGTTGTTACCTTGATTAGGCCCTGGATAGGTAAAAAAAAGCCGTTAAACTAATATGTATGTCGCAGGCAGATTGTAAATTAAAGTCTCGTTGTTCGATACATAGTTAAATAAGACTATTACTCAAATTGACATGGACTAATGGCGCAATTACATTTGGTCGTTTGCCCGAATACGAGTGCCAACGGAATTGGGGTAAACGACTTATGGCGCAATTACATTTAGTCGTTCACCCGTGTTTGTTTACTTTCGTGCATCCGACGAAAGACATTACTCGAATTCGGGCACCCGAAGCAATATTTACGCTGGAAGACGGTGTCGGGTAAAGAAAGGAAATCTACCTGAATACGGCCGTACTCGACTCTATTAATTTACACTTGGCCGAATACGAGTGCCAATGGAATTCGGGTAAACGGCTAAGTGTAAACGAACTGAGTGAGTACGCCCGTATTCGTGTCTAACGAGAAAATATTGATACATTAATAGTAGAAAAGAGGACGACTGTGCCTCCTTCCCAAAGGGAAGCCACCCGACACACCTGGGGTATATCGGCCCGTCATTCTGCTAGACGTGATGGGCAAGATCCTGGAGAATATCATCGCGGATCGCAATGTCTAGCACCTGGACACCACGGGGCCAAACTTGTCGGACAGACAGTATAGATTTAGGAGGGTGAGATCTACGGTGATGGTCCTGAGAAGCCTTTCACAAGAAGCGATCGCCGAAGGGGGACTGCCCTGGTGCTTGCTGTACGCAGACGATGTCGTTCTGATAGATAAGTTTGCGAGCCAGCTGCAGATCACTCTCCAAAAATGGCAACAAGCGCTAGAAAACCACGGTCTTCGTATCAGTCGCAATAAGACCGAATACATGAAGTGCAGTTTTGGCGATGAGACCGCGCCTGATACCGATATCTCCATCGATGGTCAACCATTACCCAAAGTGACCCATTTCAAATATCTTGGATCGATTCTGTCTGAGAACGCTAAAATAGACTTAGATGTAGCCCATAGAGTCAAGGCTGCATGGTTAAGATGGAGAACCCTAACAGGAGTACTCTGCGACAACAGTATGCCAATAAAACTGAAGGGCAAAGTTTACAAAACGGCTGTCAGACCCGCCATGCTTTATGGCACTGAATGCTGGGCAATGAAAAAGACTCACGAAAACAAACTGCACGTAAATGAAATGAAGATGTTGCGTTGGTCGGCTGGTGTAACGAGGCTCGATAAGGAACGCAATGAATACATCAGAGGCTCCTTTAAAGTTGCTCCCATAGGAGATAAGTTGTCGGAAAGACGTATGGGCTGGTTCGGTCATGTAATGAGAAGGGACGAGGAGTACCCAGTAAAGAAGGCCCTAGCGATCCCAGAAAGGATAAAAGGCAGAGGGTGCCCCTTAGCTACGTGGTGGACAACCGTATCCAAAGACCTGGAACGAGCTCAGCTGGACACAAAGACAACCCAGGATAGACTATCCTGGCGCTATAAAAAAGAGCGCGAGGCATTTGAAAACCTCAGGCGTCTAGAAATAACAAAATAAAATCGTAAGCTTTAGCGTTGTCCAAAGCATTTCCGTTAGGCGAATGGCCCCCAGGTCCCAGAGGGGCATTCCGGCGAGGGCACACGCCGCCTCATACGATACTGTGCGGTTCGCTCTGTTGGCAATCACCCTTTGCGGCTCCCTAAGCTGCGCCTTATTTCTGTTGTTCAGAGCACTTGCCCACTGGTGCCCCGTATAGGGCCGTACTCTTTAATCACCCCTGCTAAAAGCTTCCTGCAAGTCGCGTTTGTGCCACCGATGTTCGGCAGCAGCTTACTTAAGGTCAAATCTCCACTTGCTATCCAGCTTCAGCCCAAGAAAGCGGATGTTCTGCTCGACCGCGACTCTATTCCCCTCTGCTTTGCTGCTCTATTTCAGCCCCAGATGGCAGCCTTGCTCTGCGGCCGAAGAGCAAAATGGCTTTCATATCCAAAACCCCCATGTATTGCTTTATACGCAGTGCTATGGTCCCCCACGTGACCGTTTAGGTCGCCTCAATGTATTTAGTTTCCTCTTGAGCCATCGTATTAAGAAGATCTTCAAAGTCGTCCCAGAAACTTTCCTTTTCGGTAATACTACAACCTGATTGTGGCGCATATGCTGAGATTATATTTCAGGGTGGTTGGTTATCCATAGCTATTTTAACTGCCATAAGTCTGTCACTCCTTCTTTGTACGTTTATAATTCGGCGCTTCAGTTGTTCGTCGAGTACGATACCGACTCCATTATTTGCGTTAGTCGTCCCATGGTAAAGAAGTTGGTATCCGAGACCCAGGTCCCTGGACTTCGATCCCTTCCATCTGGTCTCTTGCAGGCAGCATATGTTGATATCGTACCTGCAGTATTTTCGCTAGTTCTTGACTTCTTCCAGTGAGGGTGCCCATGTTCCACGTAGCTAGTCTTAATTTTACGTCGCTTACGAGGTACGCCCTAGTATGATTTTCTTTGTTCGCATATTTCACATCTCTAGCACTGACGTTGCTTCCGGGGTACGCCCTAGCTGTATTCACTCTCTTATTTTTGCCTTTTATCATATTTGATTACGAGGAGAAATGGATTTGACTTTATGTTTTACGGCCGGTTGTCACCTGACGCCAAGGCTGTATCTGACTGTAAGTTGTGGGCGCTGCCGTTGACCCCTTACGTGAGTTCCTCCGCCACCATCCCTTCTGGGTGCTCCAGCCTAAACACTCAGCACTACACAAACCTCGCCTTCGAATAGGTCGGAGAAGCCCTGTTGGTCCGCAGGAACTATTTGATTTCACTCCTACCCTTCAGACGACACTTGCGAGTCGCCTGAAAGGCGTTCCCCTATCCGCCACCTGGGGACGCGTTCTCTAGGGGTGAGGCTCCCCCGAGAATGCGTACCTTGTGGGTGCGTGGCCAGTGGAAATCGGGTGCCAGGACCACGCCCGCACTCCCGACGCGCATTGGGGGGATCTCGGTCCTCAGAATGCGTACCGGACGAACGGTGCAGGAGCATTATCTGGTTTTTAGTGGCTCTGTTCAGGGCATTAGGTAGGGCCCTGTTCATTTTCATCCAGCCCAAGCGCTGGCTGAAGTGAGCAGGAAGAATTCCCACACACCTTCTCGCTCCCCCGGTGGTTGAAGGAAGAAAGCGTTGGGCATTTCCCAGACAAAAAAAAGGTATATATTGATATGAAATGTCGCATGCCATCACGTCTTGGTAGCTGGTAACTTAGAAGTGACGTTACGAATGTCCACTTCCAAAGCTTTTATTTTTTTTGGTTGATCGGTTCGGCAGTAAGAAAAAGTGTATTTTTTTTTATATTCTAACTAAGGGACTTAAGGCTTTCGTTTACTTTTCCCTGTTATCATCTTAATTAACGGCATGGCAGGCAAGATACAAAGAGATAAAGGTATTAATAAAGAAATCATATATAACTATTCAGACATTACTTTACCTGCCATCCTCATCCTTTTCGCATTATTCGCACCGTGGTCATGGCTGTTTGCTTGTACTTGATTTTGTTGAGTCTGTAATAAAATAAATACTAAATCCCACGATATTGGATTAAATAGTCCCAGTGACGAAGTAACCAAGCAATTTGTAACTGTAATTTTTTTGTTTCAAATATTATTTAAATGAATAAACCATGAACTCTGTAATCTCTGTTCAATGTTTTACTAAGAAATGTTGTATGCCTACTGGTCTACTTGCTTGCAGTACCTTTAGGGGCAGACACAATGGTAAAATATGAATTCTCTATTGTAAACTATGATGTTTTATATATTATATGTCATTGATTTGAGTTCAGTTTAATGAAAACATAGCCTATAACATAACATGCATAAATAATATCAAGTATCAGTTATTATTCTTGTTATAACTCGTCTTTTACTTTAAATTAACATAATTCATTAATTGAGTCACAAAGCTACATACATTTGGTTGCTGCTGTTGTTGATTCTGCCGAGCTTTTGAGTCACTTTTGTCTTCCTGATCATCGTCAGTCAAGAATTCTCTCTTAGGATATGGTATGGGACAACCGGCAAATACATCCTGTATGAAAAAAAGGATAATATGTAGTTAAAAGTAATAAATTAACCAAAACAAGGCTTACATAATAAACTTTTTCAGCAAAAAGCAGCTCTAAGCTAAGCAGTTTACAGTATTTAATTTATAAGCTAAAGGAAACACTAGCAATTAAAAATAGGTAACGTTTAAAGCTAGAGGTATTAATAGAAGGTAGATCAATCAAAGAAATTCTGTAAGGATCTTGAAGTGTAGAGAGGTGATTGATCTCCATAGAACTGTTTACAATACAAAACCCTTTATTTCACTCCATGGAGAACATAAAACATTTAGTACGAAATTGCTTAATTCTAGTGTTACAATAGCCTAAGACGTTATGCAGAATAACCTTTGAATGATGTATCATTTCAAAATATTTTTATACACTTTCAATGTTCCTGTTACTTTTAACATACTTATAATGTAATTTATAATTAAAACTACACATCAATAATCATCATCAATAACTTACAGGAGTTGTTGGAGGATCTTCAGTGAAATATGGATCCTGCATTGCTTGTTCTGAGGTGATTCTTTTATTGGGATCCATCAATAACAGCCGTTGGAGCAGACTAAAGGCTTTGCTGTCCGGTTTAATTTTATGCCTATCCATATATTTACTTAATGAACAATTCTGGTAACTGAAACAAAACAATATCATATTTCATATTAGAACCTTAATGTGACAAAAAAAATTAAGATAAAACTATTTTTCGGAAAATTAATTAATTATATTCAGATTAATCACAATGTCAACTTCTTTGCGCTGCTGCTTTAATTTAAGTCTAAGTTTTGTGATAGGATAGTCAAAGCTCCTTACACATACATTTTATTATAAACCTACCACATATCACAAACCTTTAATATTACTACTTTTCCCAAATTTTATAAAATCAAACTTCACTCACTTTGATCTTTTGAAATCTTTAACTAAAGTGGCATGTTCAGGCATTTTTCTAATGTCTTCCCAGTCTTTCTCCTGTGGGAATCCCATAACATTGAATATCCTGTCTAATTGGTCATGATGATATGGATTACTTGTCTTTATATCTTCCTGACGACAGTGAAATATTGGTTCAGATGTCAACAGCTCAGCAAATATGCAACCAATGGCCCAGATGTCTGAAAAACGAACCAGTATTATGCTATAATTGAATTTACAAGTGAAAGAAAATATATTTGACAAGAAACTGCAATACTTTTTCTAACAAACAAATGAGTTTCTTAACAACTATTGTTTTCTTTGTATTTCATTTCTATACATTGCACACAGATTGGAAGTAATGTTGAGAAGAAATTCGCCATAAGCTAGTACAGTTAGAAGCTATAGGGTTTTTCATCAAGAACTTTGTTTTCTAAAACAAGATAAAACAAAAAATTTAGATGAAGATGATTAATTTTTTTATTGAATTACAAAGAGAAAAGTTCGGCAATTATGAATGAAAAATGATATCTTGCAAATGTCCACCACGAGCATGCTGACAGATGTCGATTCTTTCATCAAAGTTTTTAATCACTGTTTGGCAAAATGGCGGGACTATTTCGTTAATTACTTCACAGATTTTGAGTTTTAAGGCTGCAATTGATTCGATTGTCTCCGTATACACTCTGTCCTTAACATATCCCCACAAAAAATAATCTAATGGTGTTAAATCACATCATCTGGCTGCCCACAACAGCTGAGTTTAGTGAAATTATGCGATTGGGAAATTTGGTTTGCAATAAATTGATCGTTCCATTGGCTGTGTGACATGTGGCGCCGTCCTTTTGAAATCATATATCAGTACCACATCATCAATAATAGGCCAAAATTCGCCATTTGGTGGTTCTAGATAACCCCACTTGTTGAGAACGTCGCAGAATTGACCTAATTTGTATCTGCCTCAACACTGTGGCTCACGGCTGCGATGCTTTCAGTTCAACGACTCGGTCGAACACGCGTTGGTGTTGGCACATTTTGTATCGAGCCTGTCGACTCGAATTTAACAACCAAATTCTTAATAGCGGTCTCAGAAGGACGATTATGTTGTCCGAAAATATCATGAATTTGACAAAATGTAATCTGTAACAGAACCACTATTTTCATAGTGGATTTTAATTATTTTAATTCGATTTTCAAGCGAAATTGAATTGCCAATGCATCTTCTACGAATACGCCAAAAAAGTAAATGTGAAAACTATCATATTGTTGGTGTAGCCACAATTCAAAAACAAAGTTCTTGTTGAACAACCCTATATATCTGCTGACAGTTAGGAATTAAAAATGGTTTCAGTGGTTGAAAACAAAATAATTATTAACGTAAGTACAAAAAATAAAAAGTTTAAGTAAAAATATTTTGACAATTATTTGATTGTTATCTATGTATATTGTTATCTACATGTTATTATGGACTGGGTTGATAAAAATCGTGATTTTTTAATCAATTACAAAAGACTGGTACTAATTTTAATTTCAGGGAACCCCAAACAGTATAATAGTATAGAAATATTTGTGTGTTGCACATGTATGTGCGCGCCATAGCTTTATGTCGGGAGACGTCTCTTGACAGTTTTTTGCTAATTTGGTTACATCATAGAAAAATCAATGATTTAAATCACTGTCTTTTTTAGTGATCACTTGTTTTAAATAGCATTTTAAAACAATTCTTTGAGCAAAATTACACATACCTATAGCTTTTGTATAGTGTCTGGCTCCAAGAAGTAGCTCAGGTGCTCTATACCAAAATGTAACAACCACAGGGTCCAAATCAGCAAGGGGTTTCAATGGTGCATTAAATAGACGAGCAAATCCCATGTCTGCTATCTTAACCCTTCCTCTTTCAGGACCTTCACCCATCACCAAAATATTTGCAGGTTTCTAAAACAAAATTGATTTTGTGAACTCTAGAATTGTTATTTCAAGAAATTTAAAGTCAAAATATATAAAATTCTCTAGTTATTTTAAATGAAAGTTATGTTACAACCAAAAAATTAAGAATTAAAAAAAACTTTTATCTCAAAGGAGTAGTTGAATTGAAAAGCTTTCATTATGATATCCAATAGTGGTATCCATCTATCTTAGCAGGCTTGTTGTTATTTACCATGTTAATAAAATGAATGCAAAACTACAGGCAAGGAACATACCAAATCTCTATGTAACACCCAGTTGGAGTGTAAATAGTGTATACCATCCAAAATCTGGTAAAGCAAACTCTTAACCATTCCTTTTGGTACCATCACAGACTTTTTATTTGCTTTAGCAGCTCGATGAAATTTTATTATATGCCACAAATCATGTTCAGCATAATCAAAGAGGAGCCACACTTTGCGGTCAGTATGGGACAAAAACACTCTAATCAAGTTGATAACATTCGGATGTTTTAACTCTCGTAGAAGCTGTAATTAAAAAAAGTAAGTTGTTCAAACTGACACTACTGTTATAATTATTATGATAGTTTTATTATCGTTAGCAAATAAAAAATTCTAAATGCACAATTAAGTCAAAGGTGATGAGATAGTCAAAAATTTGTATATTAATTACAAAGGCAGAACTCAAGTATGCCAAAGTTGCGCTGAGGGTTTGTATATAAATGCATACCCCTTTACTTAACAACAAAAAAGAATCCTAGGCTACTTAGGGAGTGTTTAGTTAATCAGGAGCACATCTCACCTGCCACTTCGTTATTTTCATACAAACATTCTCTTTTTGCACCTATATAAATAAAAATGACAATAAATTTCTACAATGATTTGTATGCTATTGTTTAGGTTAAGCATCTGAATGTTCTTATAGTCTTTTGAATATGTACCAATACCATTGCATTTGTCCATAGAGGCAGAACAATGAATGCTTCATCACATTTCATACAGTGTGCCATAGCAATAATGTAATGCTTTGGTTAAACAAAGGTTTAGAAATGAGGAGATTTTTATAAACAGTTCAAAGAACTAACTGGATATTCAAACACTTAAACTAAACATTAGCATAGAGATTTTTGTAGAAATTTAAGGACATTTCAATGTATTGAGCCACAAAGTGATCTTTGTATGAAAATAACAGAGTGTGAGGTTAGATATTGCTCCTAAGTGTAGAACATTTAAATTCTATGAACACACACATACTCAACAACACTGGTTCCCTTCTTAGATAAGCAGTGTTTTGTACTGTTATACGAAATACTTCGTTTATTATCAAGGGTTATGGTCGACATAAAAACCAAGTGCATTCTTTCTTTTTCTATGGCGAATTTAAATTATTATTAGATTGTATAAAACTCGTTGCTTACTGCGATTTCTCTACAAGCTGACATGGAAAGCCCAGTGCCTTCAATTTGTTTTAGGGCATAATCTTTTGTGTCCGAGCCGTCCTTTCTTCTGGCTTTGTATACATGTCCATAGGTCCCTCTACCAACTTTACAGCCCTCGAAATCGAATAAATCTTCTACTTTTGACCTTTCGTTCTGAGTTTTTACTTTGAAATCATAGTCCATCATCACCGGTGCCATCGTTTTATTGTTTTGGAAATTGTCCCCCATTTGTTATTCTATCGATTTATGCTTACGACAACCAATGAATTATAAAAAGGTACCTATAGCACATGTTTATAACATCACACTTGGTCACAATCACAATTATCCCTCAAATATGTGGTTCAAAATCTAAGCTCAGGGCAGACCTAAACTTCTTCTATCTATTACATTACAATTTTTTTTGTGGCTTCCTGCCGACTCCTTAGTGTTGCAGAGTTGCGGACCATCTACCTATATAATCGGTATCTTAGAAAAAAATCACTGTATCGATTGTGTTAAATAATTTGGTGCATTGCAACCGATATGATTGTCCCTGATAATGATATTTTATAATTGAAGTTCGACAAGACATTTTTGTTCGAGAAGTTTAATTATTGAAAAAAATAAAATGAACAACGGACGTTTTTAAGTGGTTTATTATTTCTTTACAGCATATTATATAAATGTATATTCTGTGAATATTTCCATTACGTTCTTTGACAATATGATAATTGATTTTATTGATAGAACAAAAGTGTAAATAGTAAAAAAGAAAAATTTAGTATTTAACAACCCACCTACTAGAAGTCATGGCCGCCATCTAGACGTATTTTTAATAAAATTTAAATTCAGGAGTCTAGAATCAATAGCTGTAACTTATTTCAATATTTTCTTTTATTATGAAAACCAGCAGCGTTGCATTATATGTACAAGTTACAAACAATATTGTTGTGACTTAAGGCCAAATGTACACAAGTGATCAGCAAATAAAATAAGCTAACAAGTTTAGTGAGGTATGATCAAGTGTTTTAAGTAGATGCGCGTACACACACACACGTGTGTTTTAAAAAACTACTTAAAAAAAAACAATAAAATTTAGTTCATATGAGAGTATAAATAGGTACCCTAATTCAAATTAGCTTTGATAAAAACTAACTATTAAGTATGTTAAGGGAGACCGCTCTAGTATTATTACAATTAATGTGCAAGATATGTAATAAATATACGTTGTACGAGACGCCCGAAATAACGAAGAATAAAGTTTACGTGCATAGTGAGACGTCTAAACAGCCTGAGTTATGAACTATGAAAATATCTATCTATAAGTATAATTTCACATGGATTGGTTAGTTCTAAGTCATTTATATAAGATTTCATTATAATTTTGTTGGAATAAGTCATAGTTTTATAATAATAGAGGATTTAAAATGAGAAATCTCTGTAAAAGATTGCCACGGCACCAAGTGGTGGCGCTGAGAAACTAGTTGCAAATTGATAGTTGGCAACGATAGCCAAAGATAGTCTGTCTCTTTCTAACCAGTCTTATAAGAATTATGGTCGTATTGTCTGCATTCAAAAATTTCTGTTTATTGTGTTTTAATTATTATTCTTAAGTTTTATTAGATGATAAATAGGCGTAGGAACAGAAATAATAAAGTTCTGTATAGGTTAGAATAGTATTTTAGGCGCAATTAAGGCTAAAAGTTACATATAGATTTTGTTTAATAATAAGTCAGTTATAGTTAGAAGTTCGATAATAATAATAAAGATTTTATTTTGTGTGTTTTTACTTGCCCCATAGAATAAGATATGTTAATTAGGTATAAAATAGATACAAGTGAATGAATGAATTATTTACTAAATACGATTTCGGATTCGTCAGGCTCACTGATTTGATAAATGTTTACAAAAACCCCCGTAAGCCATATTATATAAGAAGGATTTATGAATGTGAGTCACAGTTGAGGTAGGAAGGGCTGTTGAATACTGAGTTTCAAGTACCTGAAAATATTTAAAAAATCTGATTGAAAGGGAACTTTTTCATTTGTATATTTTTGCGATGGTTTAGCAATATAAAGTTAATAAGTTAATAATGCTTAGATACTAAGGCCAAAACTTCGAAAAAAAAACACGATCTACTCTCTATCTACTTCATTTCATCTCAAGAAACTTGGAAAAGAAACTATATAAATGTATATAAATAAATTATGTGAAAAAACAATGTTTATAATTTTGATATATTAATTAAGTTGTTGTATTGATGAAATAAATATCATTTAATGTAATCTTATGTTTTATTTTTTTACTCCGTGCCCTCTGCCCATTGCCTCTTAATACCGTGGACACCGAGGAGCAAATTGGTCATCTCTCTGAGATGACCTGGTGAAACAAAAATATGACGTTTTGCTTAGAATATAAGTTCCAATTATTGCTACATTCATTATGATCCTTATCATCCTGTAACAAACATTGTGAATATCTGATGGTTAGTAGCTACTATAGAAAAAGACTTTGACGGGGACTTCACTATTTTTGAGTGGGACTCTCCTACGTAGACGATGTGTCCTCGGTGGAGGACTGCCCACTAAAAATACCACAGTCAACCCTTGGACTGTTACTGCGAGAAATCGTTTCCGCGGGCTACCACTCCTTGATGAGTCACTATCACCATCTTAACTCATTTGCGAATGAATGAAACTCATTAGCAGATCGATTAGAAATTAATAGTGATAACTCAATATAGTAATTGGTTTCATTTTTATAATTAGGGATGTAAGTGTGACAAATATAATGAGTTTTTTTTTTATTGAAACATAATTTATAAATGACATATAATATATTTTTTTTCTTTAATTTGAGCTGTTTCCTTTTATATTAGGGTTTCTGACAAAAACAAACCCGCACTAACCAGGGACTATCACAAATTAAATAAAAGTAAATAAAAACAGAATGATAACTTTTAAGAAGACACATGAAACATTTATAATTGAACTATTTAATTTGAGACCTTTTCATCTGAGTGCTTATTTTACGCATTTTATTATCATACAAATTATGCACATATATTAATATATACTTAATCTTTTAATATACTTTTAACATTCCTTCGTGTATTTCGATCATGCATGCAGGTGCGAGTTTACAGAAATAAATTAAAGATATCACATAATATTTCTTTTTGTTTAGCAAATCGATTATTAATCACATTAAATTTATGCAATCGATAATTTTTTAACATCCTTAACTCTGCAAAAATGTGATATTATGATCAACTGACACAACCAGTGATACCAGATTAGTATAAATCCGCTATTTTGACAAAAATTTGGTCTTTGCGAGATTTTGACGGAATTGTTGGCGAAAATAAATTGAACATGTTGATTTTCTGGAGAGAAGAAAGATGAATGGAAAATATACGATGTCTAATGAACATTGCAATAAAAACTTTTTTCCTATGACGTGAACGACCTCATTGCTGCCGTCTTTGAGTGCCATTTTTGATGTTATGATGGTGCGACACACAAAGACACACACACAGTGATAAGTGATGGTGCGACACACAAAGTCATATTTGTTATCATGCATGTATTCTTCTTGGGAAGTAAATTCTTCCTTACAGAAGACCACAGTAAAGTAAAACTATCTTTTAGTAGTTTCCTGTTCCTGCTGATGAGTAGGGTTTCAGAGCTTCGCAGGGTAGGGTTCATGCTGGCATGGTGAAGATGGCTGGGGTGGCACACGGCACACCTTATACCACATCATCTATCTTTGCGACTGGACTCCACTACACTTAACATCAGATGGGTTAAGGTAACTTGTTGCGCCGCCTCGTATAAAAAAAACATTTCATTTTATTAAGAATTATTACGTTGCAATATGTTAAACCTTGATGTATAAACATAAATTATTTGTTTTTTCATTTTCTAACTCAAGTTTCATTCAGTGGTATTTTTCTTAAAAGGTATCATTTTGGCGTAAAATAATGTGGCAGAAATTAGAAAATCACAACTGGCAACCATGCAACTGACATAATGTATGTGTATTGTATTGATTGAAAGTATTAAAATTATTGAAATTTGAAACGGAGTTATATCGCTCTAAATTGTTAAGAAATTAATCGTTCCGCAACATTTAAAATATATTTCAGATAATGGGTTAGTTAACTTTCATTAGGTGTTTTGGTATAATTAGTTGATTGGTTAATTTTCGTGATCGCATAATTTGTTAATGACCTAACAATGGAACATGAAATATCATTTGATTTTAGTTCTGTAGTAGACTCTCTTGTGAATTTGTTTGGTGATGTTTTGAGCAGAGACGTTATCGAAACAATTGTGGATAGTTGTGGTGGAGACTGTAAGTATCTACATTTTCTTAATTTTTTTAACATATATTTCTTTATTAATATTAAATAATTAAAACTTAAACTGAGTGAAGTTTACTAAATATTTATACCGTATTACATTAATTTCGCTGCAGATAAAAATAATTTGGGTTGTCCATTTAAAATCTGAGTATTGAGATTATTAATTTTAGGTGTAGGTAATTTTTGGCCTAGTGTAAAAATTCGATGGTGTATGTTTTGATCGAAAAACTTGGATTATTTATTATAGCTAACAAATCATTTCAAAAACATTAAGTTATCTATTTTTTTTTTGGTGAAATTTTGTAACAAACATTGTGGTGCATGGTATTTATTCTGTATATTTGTAAATGTAAGTTACAAATATACAGAATAAATACCATGCTTTAAATCACAGAAAGAATGGAACTAAAACTATTTTATTCAGTAACTCAAATGTTATTTGCATTTTGTACCTTATTAATATTATGATCTAGGTCTAGGCATAACATATGATGAGTTAAAAAGGCATACATAAAGAAAGTATGAAAACCTTTACTATAGTGTGTGTTTTGTGTTGTGTTAAATGTTATATTTACAATGCAGTGCGAAAGTTTGAAAGTGTATGTAGGTCTGGGTGGGAACTAGTTTTGCCACTTTTAGAAAACAATTGATAGTCATGTGATATCTTGTTTTGATTAGTTCAGATAATTTCCAATAATTTGATTAATATTTTGCATAGCACAGTATATTATTTGGCTAAACTGTATATAGTTAAATTAAAAAGAGACAATATTATTTTATAGTAATATAAGTTACCAAGTGGTAAAAATCCCGTAAATAGTTAAAAATAAGGTATATACCTTGTTTTTTACTGAGTTTCCTATATTTTGGCACTGTTTCAAGTGCCATGATCACAGAGTAACTGTTATCTACCTGTTCCTGTATATGTTACTGATCAGTTATTCCATGATCATGGCGCTTGCAACAGTTTCAAAATATCAGAAACTCGCTAAAAACAAGGTACATAGTAACAATTCCATGAATAACTGTAATTTTAGCAACCATGAAAGTTTAAAACAATATAATATTATTTTATTTATTTTTTACCTGAGCATGTGACACATCATAAACTAAAAGTTGTTGATAGTGCAGTCATTGAAGCATTATTGCTCCGAATTTTTTTACTGTGAACTGAATTGCATACAATTTTGGAATTAGGTTCATCTTACCCTTAACTTCAAAAGTGAAAATGATTGGGTTGGTTGCCACCCCTTCTCGGGGGTGAATTTATTTTTTTTCAAAATAACCTCGGATATCGATAGAAGGCCTAATTTTAAGCAAAAAATCATCCATAAAGTTTTTCAAAAAATCCAATACTTTTAAAGTTATTGGCAATTACAAATTCGCGAAAATTTTATCAATAACAAAATTGTAGCAGTTAAAACAATGAACAATTTGGTATTTTATAAAGTATTCTAAATGCAATATCAAGCTAGATATTAAACATCAAAGCCGTTTTTTATTGTGTCTGAAATTTAATCGATGTGGTCAATGCCATCTAGAGGCGAGCAGATGCATTTTATGCATTCTAATACAAAAGGGATTTGTAGTGCTTGAAATAAGCTTTAAAATGAGCACTATTAAAAGTCTTTTGCACGTAAAATAAGTGAGCTGTATTGCAAATAAGGGGAGCATCTAATGTTTTTTCTTTTAAATCAATGAGTTTCATAAGTGCCATTTCCACCAAAATTAAAATTAATCGTATTCCGCCTAGAATTAACTTTATTATGAAGAGTTTGATAGATAGTATCAGTTTGGCTGCTTCAGGACACATATTTTTCGAAAAAGTCACGATTAAAAACAAAAACAAAATTTCAAATTTTTAAAAAAACCCACTTTCTTTTCATAATATCTCAAAAATGAAGACAGATACGTATAAAAGTGTACGGATTAAAAATTTAGGTATTTTTCTGACAAACAATTTGGTTTTTTTGTTTTTTCTGTCAAACAAAAATTGACCGAGACATGATTGTTTTAAGAGCGCGTGGCAGCGCAATCACAGCCTCTCTTAAGTCCTTTAACCCTTCACGGTTTTAGAAAAAGGTTTTTTACTATATATTGCAATGAAGGATGTTGTAGCTCTCTTAATTACCTTTATAATGGTTTTTTATAAATTGTGATAGCATGAAAATTGAAGGAGTTATGGTCCAAAAACTTATCATATTTTTTTCTACTTAGTAACTGAAAATTTCGAAGTGTGAATATTTGGAGCAATGTGAAAGTATGCAGTTTAATAGAGACCCACAACTATTGTAATGTGTATATATGTACATAATATGGCTCATATATTTTGGAAACGTAGACATGAATACATACCAACGTTCTTATATGTATATATAACACATTTGAGTGAAGGGGCCAACGAAAAATCCATGTGATCAGCTGTGCGTGCTCCGTTTATTCCTTATAATGTGACCAGTATATTTCCGTCTGCAAAGGAATGAGCACGTGTTTAATATAATATTTTAACTAGACACCCAATTTCAATACATGTTGTTTAATAAAAAAATGTAAGTAGATAAAAAACCTGTATTTTTAATAATATCTTATTAAAATTGTGCCATAAAATTATATTATCCAAAAATTTAATGAAAATATATTCTACTAGTATTGACGTTCGTACTATTCAAAGAGCACGATAGCAAGATAGATAGAGCACTGTGGAACGTGCAGTGGAGATAACTGCCAAAATAGCCCTCCAATTCAGCCAGAAGATGTTGAATGTGACAGCGACTCCGACATTGAGTCATGAATAATACTAATATATTTTAATAATAGTACAATTTTGTATAATTTGTAAATATTTTATTCAATAAATGGCAATTTTTTACTCTAAATTAAATTATTTTTAAATATGTAATCATATATATTTACTGTTTTAATTTAGGGGTAGTTTTAAGGGTAGAAAAGCTTAAGAATATGATAATCATTTTCGAGAGTGTGGAATAATATTTAAATCCTTTTCATTTTATCAAAAAAAAATTTTAACAATTTTTTATCAAGGGGTAGTTTTCAAGGGTTGAAAGGAGGTTAAAAATTTGATAATTATTATAGAGAATATAAAATATTACTTACTCTATACTTACATCTTTTTATGTCATACCATTTTTTTGGGATTTTTTCAATTTAGGGGTTGTTTGCAAGGGTTGTAAGATTTTCAATGGGTTGAAAATGATTTTAATATGAGGTAATTATGTTAGAAAATACTTTACAATTTCACCATTTACTATTAGACATGTTTTCTAGCGATAAAATGGCTCAATGTCAATTTTTCCATTAAATGGTTGTTTACACCCCTTAAAAATAATAGGCGGAGTTGAGATCATTTTCACTTTTGAAGTTAAGGGTAAGATGAGCCTAATTCCAAAATTTCATGCAAATCGGTTCACAGTAAAAAAATTCGGAGGTAAGACCGTATTTTTCGCTTCAATGACTGCACTATGAGTATGATATAAATAAAATCTTTATTGTTTTTTAATTTCAATAACAAAGAAATGGGGGCCATCTAATTTTTAATTTTCAGACCATTTATGTTATGGGGTTTATCTCGAAATCAAAACTAGTTTGATCTGAAAAGAAAAGTAAAATGCTGTATTTAAATAAGAAATAAAGTCAAAGAGCTCAGGATACTAAACCTAGTCCTATAAGACTCCCAAATGATATATCTATATAAAATTAGTTACATCACATCATTAATGCTATGAAAAAACCTTTCATAATGTACTTTATAATTTGTAATGAAAAGAAACCAATGATTTAAGGGAACCCTAATAGAGCGAGGCCAGACTCACACTGCCAGTTTTTTTAATCAGTGTTAAGTCTCACATACTTACTTACTGTAAGTATTAGATGAAAGCAATATTTAAGCAAATTACAAATCAAACAGTTTAAAGTTTAAAATAACACTATTGTTAATTGTAAATTAAAATATAACAAAAAATAAAAAAACTTTATACATAGGTTTTCTATAATGTTTTGACTACAGTTTAGACACACACTAATCCCATAATCCAACAAATGTTTTGCAGGGATGCCAGATTATCGAATTCGTCTGCCTAAGACCACCCTGTAGTGTACTGTTTTTTTTGGTTATAAGTCATTGTAAGCTGCATATTATGCACTCCGAAACATTAGTTAATACCCGTTACCGATTAAAAATACGCAATATAGAATTAGATTTTTTTATTCTGCACAGTATTTACAGTTCTAGATAAATCATTCAGTCATGGTAAAAAAGAGTAAAAATTAAATTGGTTATTAAAACCATGATTTTTTATTTTTTAAATTTGATTTCATAATAATGCAATAGTACCTATGTGCTGGTAAAAAACATGTCCTCTTTAATATGACAAAAATGGCCAACATTTCTCCATGGTGAGCTGTCTCACTATTTATCTCTGAAAAGTGAGCAAACTTTGCTTTTGGACACCTGTTATCTGTTTCTGTTCTCAAACTGATGTAATTATATTTAATTAAATGGTTTTTATTCTCACAGTGAATTTGTCTGCTGACGCCATCATGAATGTTACAAGTGAAACCAAGCCTGGCCTGCAAAAAAATGACTTCGCTAATTCTAAAAATTCTGACACCAAAGACGCAATACCATTGCCACTTGAAAGAACTACTACTCAAGATAAAGCTAGCAGTTCTAAGCAGCCATCATCTGTTTCATATGCAGAATCGATTCAAACTACTGGAGCTGTACCCAAGCAGCAAATTAAATTCACCCAGCCTAATAAGAATTCTTTGTGGAATGAACAATTTTGTAGAATTGTATCATATCATAACCGAGGATATCGTGTGTTAATTCTGATGAGAGGTTTGCCAGGTTCTGGTAAGTCATTTATAGCTAACAGAATAATTGAGGCTACCATTGGAGGTTCATTTGCTGATTTGAAAACTCATATTTGTAGCACAGATGATTATTTTATGGTTGGAAGGAGGTACAATTTTAATAAACAAGATTTACCATATGCTCATTCTCTTAACCATAAGCGATCTATAGCAGCTATGGAACAAGGATTGAGCCCTGTGATTATAGATAATACAAACATAGAAATTTGGGAAACTGAACCTTACGTAAAGGCAGCTGTTGCCAATGGATACATTATAGAAGTAGTAGAGCCGAATACTCCATGGGCTAAAAAACCGAACCAACTTTGCCGTAGAAATGTGCATAATGTTCCTGTAACATCTATCAAAAGAATGTTGAACAATTATATCAATAATATAACAGGAGATTCTTTGATAAAGAGTCTTGGATTAAGTTATCCAGCTGATAAAGTGCCGCCGGTTATTCGAGCGATGCCTTTTTACCAGCCAACTTCACAAAACCCAGACCTAATCCAGGCAAACAATGTTAATGATTCTCCATCAAGTAGTCAACAACCAGAACCGCTTGACACATGTGATAGCAATAATTCTTTAAGCGACTTTCACACAGTTGAACAAACACCAATCCAAGCTATAGATAATAATGCCCCTCCATCCACCATAGCTTCAAATATTTCTACAGCTGCTTCTGGTCAAGTTTTATCTTCCGGACAAAATTGTACTGATTCTGTAGCCATAAATAAGGATGAATATAAAAATAATGATGAAGATAACTGTGTCATCAATTTATATAAAGATGTACAACGACAGTTTGAGGAAATTGAGAAAGTTGAACAAGAATGGGAAAGTGGTGAAAACTGGGTAGCAGAACATGATGTTTCTACAAATCCAAATAAAATCACTCAAAATATAGAAACCACTACGCCAAAACCGCAAAGAAAAAAACAATCAGAATCTATTTCTGAGGATAAGGTCTTAGGAAATATTGCAGGATGTGAAGACTGGAGACAGATATCAATGTTCATGCCCTCTTGGGATGAAACAGACAAACTATCGTCCTGGTCAACAAAGCCTAAAAATCAATCTGTAGAAACTATGACCAGCAGTACATGTATGGAAATAGGCGACGCAGAAAATAATACTAATATGCTCAAAGTTCTTGCAGCTACTCCTAGAGATATCAATCAGTTTATATTTTCCATCAATAAGGAAAAGATTCCCGAAAAACGGATGCTGGACAAAAGTAGTATGACAAATGAAAATTTTATTACAGACGCAACTAAAAGATGTCAAAGTGAAGAAAAACATTTTAAGGAGTTTAGAAGATTATTCAAACACGTTTCTAAAAATGCATTGAGGGACATATTTGACAAATGCATGGGGGATGTCAACTGGGCAGTTGAAATAGTTTTAGATGGTGTGGAGTCCAAAGAACTTCCAATTGATAATGAGTGTGCATCTGATGGAGAAGAAGAAGCAAATACTAGTGACGAACATTGTTCTTGTTTAGCCGCTTATAACATATTACCTGATAAATCTTCATCACAGATTAAACTTGAAAATGTTGAATCACAAGAAGAAAGCACACCAAAATTGAGTGGGAGCCCCACTAGACCACAAGGTCAAAAGAAACAGAAAAGAGACAACATAATTTCAGGTGATTCACTGATTTTAAAACGTTTGATTGAAAAAAATGTAGGATTTTCAGAAAACCATTATTCAGAACATTGTCTAAAAATAAGAAAAATTCGGCGTGGTGAAAATGCTGGTATCGCAGAAACTATGAGTGAAAATGACGAAAGTGATAACGCTACAGCATTGCCGGATTCTACCTGTCATGCATCTGTGTCTCCTACTAATGAACAACAAAGTGACGATGAGGTTTCAAATTCAAGTGTCGATGATGTTGAAAAGACTGTAGTCTTCAATTTGGGAAAGGACTTTATTGCCGAGTTAGACATGTTATTTGGACGAACAAACATGACTTATCCCGATAAAGTTGTGCCTAAGATAAATATTCCATTATCACTTCTGAATGAAATCAATGCTTTGTGGATGGAATCTTTGATGCATCAGCTTGATGAACACGATAAGCAGACTACTAGAATGTTGTCAGAAGATGAAGAATTAGCAAGGTAAATTTACGAAGAGACTAGTTTCAAAGTCTTTATATTATATGTACTTCTTCAAATATATCTTTTTCTATGGTGCAAGTGTCAGATATAGAGTCAGATAAGAGTGAAAATCAATATTAATATTTAATTGTGAAATTCTTTACAGACTGTTGGCAATAAAAGAGGCAGAGTTGGCTCTGGCTGGCAAAGAACCTGAAGTTCCAGACTTTAAAGAAATAATGGATATGGATTTTGCACTATCATTATATCAAAAGGATGTTGCTGAATGGCGAAACAAAATTCCAGATGATCTAGCTGCAAAATTGACCAGAGACAAATTGTACAATTTATTTACCGATATACCAAAAGACATATTGTCAGAGCTTCTATTGGCTCATGACAATAACTTCCAGACTACGGTTGAGGTAACTGTTTAAAGTACATTTATAATATAATTTATTGCAACACTTAAATGTTGGAAGAAACTTTTCTGAATAACTTTCAATTTAAATGAACGCACAATCCAGTGGGTACGCTTTTCTACATTTATACATTATATATATTCCATTTTCTTATTTGTCACACCAATAAATTGCCAAATGTTGTGAACACCGTTAACACGCGTTACACGATAGAAAAATAAAAAAATAGGCTTTAACTGACTAATTGAGCAAGGAGTTCACATTATTGTAATTATTTGATAGAGCCTTATGCAAGAATTCAAACATTCGTAATTTCTAAAATCCATTATCTATTCCTAAAATTTATTAAATTAAATGAACATGATATACAAACTATTTTATAATGATTGCAGGAATTTCTAGTTATGATAATAAATAAATGTGACTAATTCTATTACTGTACCATTATCTTAGCCCCAGTTGAGGATAAGAGATATTTAGATATTTTACGCATAATAATATAAACTAATAGTTTAAAAAAAATAGAAAAACACGCTTTCAGAAATGCATGTAAAAACCAAAAATAAAGTATGGATCGTTCAAGTAGTCTCTATTTCTGGACTGAAGTGTAAACTATGTCCTTTTCATTGTAATATGTGATTATAAAAGCGGGGGGTGCTTGAACAGAAAATACTTTTTGTATAATTTGCTGAGAAATCAAGATAATGGTCATGCGATATTCATCATTATAATGAATAGAATATCTAAGGGAATACTAGTCGTGCTGCAACTCCAGTTACTGGAGCGCATTGGCGCTCCAGTAACTGCAACAGGTTACACAGACTGCTGTGTAACCTGCACCCCGTAACATCGCTTTACTTGATTAACGTCCAGAAAAACGTTTTCGCGGCAACTTGAAAATGGAGTTTTTGATTTGGTTATCATTACTGAAATATACAACAGAATGATGAATATCCACTTTATACGGACTCCATAAACATTAGTCAATAACGTTTTCTAAAACTTGTCAAATACCCTATTAAGAAATTTACTCGATATTCCACCCGTTTTCTTTAATATCGCTGAGAATAATGGACTCCAATGAAGTATTTATAAGGTTTCAGGTCGAACAATAAGTTGGTCTGGAGCCTTTATGTCGTACATTTGAGTAACTTTTCGTTTGTAAAATTTAAGAACTTTATTGTTGGGCTTCTCAACTTGGTCGTTTGTTGAAAAAATACGCAGTTGTTTTTGCTTTCGCAAGCTCGCCGGTAGCATTCATGTGCAGGTCTATATACATTTTATACAGGCACCTATGTCAATATTTACACTATTTACAAGTCAATTAATAGGTTTGTTATAACCTTGAAACCACATCGTGTTCAAAGTACATTACGTGGCCTTTCTCACAAGTGCAAACACGACTATGATAGGATATTCCATCATGAAATGCCAGTGGCTATCTTCCGGCTTCATCATCAGACCTTGAAACCTAATCGTGGTCAAAGTTCATTACAAGACTTCTAAGAAATCCAAAACAGCTGTGATACGATGTTCCATCGTGAAGTTCCAGTTCATATTTTCTGGCTTCATCATATAGATAAGTTCGACAGTACCATATGCTATAAGTATTGTCATCAGAACTACATTCAGCTGCCAATTTTCATTACGCTTAGATTTCATTACATAGTTATAGATAGGTCGACCTAATAAAAGCATGTTAATAAAATAGAGAAATGATAAATTTATCTATAAAGTTAAAATAATATAACACATAGATAAGATTTCTCGTTAACTTGCCTGGATTCCCCTAAATTTCTTTTGTTTCATTTCAGTAAATTCTGAAAAGCCCCTAAAAGTGAAATCCATATAGTAAAAACAACGTTTGATAAAAAGATTATATCACTGTTAAGGCTTTTACTGTATAGCGACTTAATATTAAATAAGCAACAACAGCAACCCACTTCTACAATTTTTGCAAGATAAAAAGTATTCTTACTTTCAATTCAGTAAAGTAACGATAAGTGTGCCAAATTTTGAGTAACAAACATATAAACTCACATTAAAATTAATTAGTAGGATTGTACTATATATTTTAAAAAATTGTATAGATTCATATAAAATTTTATAGATTTTAGTGTTTATATAACATATTAATGTATGTCTAATCTTATTGAAGGTCTTATTGATGTCAACTGGAAAAACCGAAATTCTTGAGGACAAGAATGGCTTAAACAAATTCGTCCTGCAAAAAGAGATGGAACGTCAAGAACGCATTTTGGAAGAGGAAAGAAGAGTGAGTTTGATGATTAAAACCTATTATATCGTTATGAATTCTTGCAGTATCTGTGCTGTCTGCCTTTTAAGAAATATGTATGCCATTGACATTATCACATTGTGAATTTCAAAGCTCAAAGTTCTTTTTCGGACGAGCCAGACTAGGCGGATGGGGGCTAAGCGAAAAAAAGTGTAAGATTTCTCCGTCACAATACAGTTATTACATTGTGTTGGGTTTTGGGTTACCAACTGTCCGGATAAGACTATAGTCCGGTCTTTGTCCGGACCTTTTAAATTACATTCAATATGAATAATAAAATTACATATTGTTTTAAATACTATACAATTGAAACTAAGTGAGTAATGGCACCATTTTGTGACTAAAAAGTCCGGCCTTTTTTCGAAATTTCAGGATTTTTGTCACGCCTTTTGTAATTCTTAATTGGTAACCCTAATTGTGTATTACGTGTAGTTGTTATATTTAACTTCGTTCCGTATTCAAGGACCTCAGGTTTTCTTTTTTAAACAGGCACTTTCGGAGGTGGAATGGCCTCCTTTACCTCGCGGGGAGGTCGTCGAAATGTCTGTAGTGAACGGGTACAGGGAGAAAGCTGAACGCCACCTGCTTAATCGCAATATGTGAGTATACTACCGAAACCCACTTTTGTTCCAATCAATTAGAGTCCATTTTTCTTTGGAATCAGTCTGTTACTTTATGGTGTTTTGATCAGTCGGTATAGATGTGAAAAATCGGTAAAGATGAAAATTCATACACCATCGTACTCTTTGAAAATAGTTTAAAAAGTTATAATAATAATAATAATTTCTTTATTTCAGGCAAAAGACCCATATGAAAAAATTTACAAAATTGATAAGAAAAATTAAAAATAAAACTGTGTATATTATAAAATTACTTAAAAAATAACATAGGATTTGCTGAATGTTTATTTCAGACTGTTATTTCCAAAACGATGTAATTTATTCCAATGTTTAAAAAATACATTGTCCACGTCATCGTGGATGTTGCGGAGAATGGAGTTCCCACTTTCACGGAGCCTCTCCCAGAACGAAGCGGACCGCGATCTGAGGATACAGAAAAATCGGGAACATTTGCTTCAGCAAACATTTCCTTGGCACTACAATATCGCGGTTTTTTGAGCAGGATGCGAAAGGCGTCATTATATTGTACTCGCAGCACATTAAACAAACGTTTTGTATATCTCAGCCAAAGTTGACATGTATAAAACGTTTACGTGTATAACGCCTTAAACAACATTATCTTGACGTCTCTCGAACATCCGCCGAACCGCCTTGCGAGCATATTGCACCTCACCGCAAGAGCCCTTCTCTCCCTCTCCATGTCGTCCTCATCGTTGAGCTGTCCATTCAATATATGACCCAGATATCTGAACCTCGTTACAACCCGAATTGGCGAATCATACAGCCACACCGGTGGAACGTTTACCGGACCTTTTCCGTTCCGAAAAATAACGACTTCAGTTTTAGCTACATTATATTTCAATCCATGTTCCCCAGCATAGGACTCACATATTGAAAGAAGCTTTCGAAGTCCATTATAGAATATATAAGAAGTAGTCCATATAAGAAGGAGTACTAATAATTGTGTTGTAATTTCTTTTTAATCTTCATATACGAAAACAATATTTTAGGCATTATGTATATTATAATATTTAATCAAAGTTTGACGTCCGATAATAATCTATTAATTGTCTATTAATCATGTAACGGACCTGCAATTAAATTTTACGTGTTTCGTCTCACCGTGGAGGATAATCACCTGTGGAACACAAAAAAAAAATAACAGTGCATTAAATAACTGAACAGGTTGCTAGAGTAACTAACAGAGTATGATGAAATTAGGTGTTAGATTAAGTTGTGTATTTATCGCGAATAAAACAGCCTAACCTCGCGCCAACGTTTCTGTTCTGCAAAACTGTACTGTCCTGTTCAGTTATCGGCAGGGTTTTAGACGGAGAAACGCCTAGATCTAAGAAAAATGCCTATTATTTAATGAATTTTAATTATGGTGATATTCAACAATATATTATACTACTTATAGATTTATCATTTTGTTTTCAATTGGCTAATAACAATTTTACAATATTATTTTTATACATTTTTAACAAATTTCTGTAATAGTAAGATAGAGTCTGTGCGGAAAGAGAATGGGCGTGGCGAAAAACGGAAACGGAACTAACATTAAGATTTTTATTTGGCAATCAAACCCAGCAATCTGTAAAACGTCAAAGTTTTGTATTGATACGGATTTGTTTGTTGTTGTGATTTCTTGCGGTTTTTTGTATTTAATCATGTCTAAAAGGGGTGAAACCTTACAAATACGGTAGAAAAGCACTACAGCGCCCTCCAATCAAAATACCATTCTCTTTCCGCACAGACTCTAGTAAAGAGTTTTAGTAGTTTAGTTCTTATCCAATTGGCCGGGTCAAGATGATATTTGTAGACAAGCTGCCAAGCAAAATTATATTTAAATATAAATTATTTTTCGCGGCATATTTAAAGAATAGATGTTAATTTTCGACTTTATTGAATTTAGTGACAGAAAATGTATTACCCAATGTTTAGACATCGTATTGGTAATATACGACTTCGAATATTGCAATGTGATATAATATAATGTAATAAAAAGGTTATTTTTTAATTATATCCTTTTTTCTTCTTGGTGCTAACAATTTATTTTAAAGTGTATTGATATGATACAAAATTATAATAATTCAGAAGTTCTGTGTAAAAGCTTCTTGCATTATATAGTTTTACTGTTAAAATGTCTGTCCATTTTAACTCAAATTCCCTTACAGAGTGGCCATTGCCCTTTAAGATGAACTCACTCCTTAATCCATATTTATGTAGGAATAAGTTTATTTAAAAACATATGAGGTATGTTTTTCAAGGAGAGGAGCTCGATGGCGCAAGTGGTTAGCGCGTTCGGCTGCGATCGTTGAACTTAAGCAACTTTCGCAGTGGTCGGTCATTGGATGGGTGACCATAAATTACTATCTCGAGCTCCCCCGTGCTTCGGAAGGCACGTTAAGCCGTTGGTCCCGGCTGCATCTGCAGTTGTTAGCACCCACCAATCCGCACTAGGCCCGCGTGGTGGGTCATGGCCCAATCTCCCTATTCCATCCATAGGGAAGGCCTGTGCCCCAACAGTGGGGACATTAATAGGCTGATGATGAGGTATGTTTTTCAAAGAGTCAAACTTTAATTGAATCATATTTATATGTCTTTGAATTTCCAGTAACCATCATAAAGCCAATGAGTACGTACAGCGTGGTATGCTGCAAGCCGCTAGTTACTACGGCGAAGTAGCATCCTATCACAAATTGAAGTATGAACAAGCTAATAGCTTAGCTGCAGTATCGTTGATGCAAGTAAGTAGAATGCTTTATTTTTTTTATATTAATAGGTCCGACAGATGACTCCCCCTGACCTGATGTTAAGTGACGGTTATAAATTATGTTTAATGTAGGTTATTTCTATTTTTGCATATAGAGGGTATAACGTTTTTGTAAAAACAGGCTGAAAAAAATTAAAAATCTTAATCCATTAAATCTCCCGCGAAGGAAGAATTTGAGATTGTAGTTCTCAGTGTCCAATTTTCAATACAATTTCCTTTTACCTAGGTACATGCAGCAAATAGCCCCGATGCGGCTACAATAGACTTGCACTATTTACGTGTGGCGGAAGCCAAGGAAGCTCTGGATTTGTTCATTGACACTCACGTGCATCGCCTCAAAGAGACCCAGGGTAGAGGACCAAGGTCCCGCGTTCTCTTCTTTATAACTGGAAGAGGATTGCACAGCAACGGCCAACCTCGGATCAAGCCGGCTGTCAGGAATAGGTTGCGCGAGCGCGGCTTAGTGTAAGTATTCGATGTAGTTTGATTTCTTTATAACACATGAAATTTTTGTATCTTCCTAAGCTGCACTGTGCTTATATATTGTTTTTGCAATTGAAGCTCATAAACATTTAATTCAAACTTGTGACTTGTATATTTTTACAATATTAATACAATGCAGCAAATATTAATTATTCATTCTGTATGTTACACATTTATTAATTATAACGTAGACGAGCTCAGATGAATAGAAAATCAATAAATTAATTTTAAATTGAAGATATTCCATCTTAAAGCCGCCAACAGTCACATTTGTATTAGAGTTAAATTTTCTTTAAAATTACTTAAAATACCATCAGGGGTAAATGTATATTTTTCCGTTTACATTAGTGTTGGGGTAAACCCAACATGTGGTTAGATGACTTTTGATAACCATATAATACGACTAGAAACTGATATTATTAGGCATTACCACAATATGATCAATTAGTCTCATGTCATCATCATCAGCCTATTAATGTCCCCACTACTGGAGCACAGGCCTTCCCTATGGATGGAATAGGGAGATCGCCCATCTCTCCGAGATTCGTGGACCGACTTTGATTAATCTTTTTTTGTTTGAATCAGTTTTTTAGCGCAATGGTCCCGTATTAATTTGGTGAGGATCTGATCAGTACTTTCGGAGGAAATAATGGACACCTCAATTACAAACAGAACTCAATTCGTGTTTGGTTCTTTTAAGATATCTGAAACAGATAATGCAGGCCAGATATCATGTACTTAATAAATTAATCTTACTCTGGCTTATAAAAAGTGTAAAGTAAAATATACGGGAAATAATATTCCATTTTTGAGATTCCGTTGCGTGCGCTGCCTTAATGGTAAAAGTTACACAAAAATCATGTATGACGGAATTTGTTATAACTCTATAATCTTTTTCCTCAAATCCATGCGGGTGAAACTGCAGGGCAAATCTAATGTTTATAAAACCTAAACCCCATATATTTGAAGTTTGTTGCCATGGAAAGAAATTATCTATCCTACTAGGCGCTGCGCTGCGAATGACACTTGTTTCAAATCTGTTACGGGGATGGGGACGTTTCTGCCCATTGTCCTTTTGTAATCAGTCTGGTTGCACCGATCATCTTTATTCTCTATAAAAAAAAATTAGCAACTCCGATTTTTTTGTCTCAGAGGAAGTTGAATAGAGTAAGGTCGTGAGGTTTCTGTACTATCGAATAAATTCATTCACTTGCATAGTCTCAAAGAGACCAATGGTACAGGACCCAGGTCCCGCGTTCTATTCTTCATCTTCATCAAAGGCCGTCAGGAATAGACTGCGCGTATGTCTAGCTATTCGATATTGTTGATGTGATGTTATGTTTGTCTTCTATAACATAAACAAAGATTTTTATTTTTTCCTCCCTAAGCTGACTGCACCTATACAAGGCCGTCCCACGGCATTGTCACACCTAGGGAAAGTATATGAAATATTCAAGATAGGATATTTTAATGAAAGAAGACATCATTTTATTTTTAATGATAAGAAGAACTGCATCCACAAAATCGCCTGCCACAACCTGTACTCAATCTCGTAAAAAGTGAAAAATAAAACACATGACGTATTTTATAACAACTGCCGAAAGGGTAAATCATTAGTATATTTTTTTTCTAAATTCACTAGTTTCACGGGTTTCACCAGTCATCAAATATGTTCACGAGTTTCAAATAATATATGTCTTCTTTCGGTAAAATATCCTATCTTCAATATTTAATATCCTGTCCAACCGTGTGACTATGCCGTTGGACGGCCCTGTATACACAATAGGCTAGTTGACCCTTTTTGAAAAAAGGTTTTAAATGGTTAATAAATGTTCTATTAGACCGAAAAAAAATGTATTGTATTTTTTTTAAACCTAGAAAGCTACAAATCTTTAATTTTAAAATAGACTTTTCATGGACATACAAAAACGCTGTCGGCCATTTTAGTCTATAAATTATCTATGCTATGACGTGAACTGTGGTAAACAAAAACTCGTAAACACGTAGAAAATTACTTTTAACTAACAATATAATAAAAAAAAACATGATTTCTAATAAATACCACGAAAAATAAAGTAATTATCATCACTGTATTGTACGACAATATAAAAACACATCCTTGAAGACTCCAGGAAAGTTGTGGATTAAAGTGCCGAAAGAAATTAACCTACGCAACTTTATTACACTTATTCATATGTTGTATCAGTTTTATGTTTATTACTACATTGTAATACTAAATGCACTGTACTTACATAGATGCCTTGTCGTTTCTCTGCTCCGCAGAGCAGAAATCGGGGTTTAGTGCAACAAATTCACCTACCATCAATGCGTCAATTCTTGGCAGATTTGTGCTTTCTGCTTTCACAAAGCCGGCATCCATAATTAGTTTTGTCAAAAAAAACTAAGTTTACTGTTTTTTCTTTCCTAAAGTTAAAAGTGTTTTAAGATAAATTTAGTCAGACGAAAGAATCCACCTACAGTAACACGCGAATGACATTTAGTTGTTTACCACAAGAGACGTCAAAATCATGGCGGATGTGGCGAACAGCGTTTTTAGTGTTTAAAAAATATAGACTAAAAAATATTTTTTTCAAATTAAATTTCTACAGCAATCTTCTGCTTTTATGAAGTGAAATCGATATATTAAGGTTCCTTAGACTAAATACTTTAAGAAATAAACATTTATTTAATACAATTCGACATGAGTAAACTAGCCTATTATAGAGGTTAAAAAAGTTAGCACAATACGAATTTTTATAGTGCGGATAAGACAAGATGTATGAATCTGTAAATAGAATGCGCGATTACAATACTGTTTAATATTGATTAAATGATGCAACGCGAAACTTATATAATCATTATTAGGTATATTCTTTTAGCTCTCCATTTGTACAAAATAACGAATTCTATTGATTGCGGCTTAGTTGTTTCTAACATTTTGTAGTATTATAAATGGTTATTATCTAAAATGTTAAGTAAATCTACTTATAAGTTAAGCGTTGTTTTTAAATGTTTCAATTCATGATGCTGTGCTTAGAAAAAATTAAAGTATTTAATATCGAAATTAACTAGCATCAAAAGTACGTGGTACTTCTTCAGGAACCTTAGACTTCCAGACGCTGGGTGACCATGAGATATTCAATGCGTGTGCCAATTTCAATCCTCTCAAAAACTTATACAATAAATGAGTTCCCCGTAATCCCATGCACAGCACAAGTCAATGGCATACATCAAGTGACCGCAGTGTCCAATTTTCTCAATCGATCGTAA